GCATTCATTTTTATTTACTTTAAATAATAGTAGGTTGTATCATTTTCTTATCAAGTGTTATTGAAATGCGTCAAGTTCGTCCGTATTCATATGTCAAGATTTCTTATATCTTTTTCGAATTAGAAATGGTATTCGATACTTTAGAATTAAATAGAACATATTATTATTTAGGTACCATATTGATTTTTATGTTTAATTATTAAATTCAGTTAACCTTGATAGCGTACATCAATGAAAAATTATTGTTAGACAACTAAGAAAATAACTATCACACGTTTCTAAAAAAAATCTCCAATAAGAGTACTTTTAATGGATCATATGTTTGTTAATTTTTTTAATTTTTACTAAACATATATTCACTTATCAAAACTTTATCTATAATTTTAACAAAGTAAGAATAAAATAATATTCATTTAACAAAAAATTAAAAAATAAAAAAACCTAACAAACCCGAACCAATCCAAACCGATAAAATTGATTTGTTTTGGTTTGATAAAAACTCGACTAGCCCAATCCATATACGCCCCTATTTATTATAATCAGAAAGAAGATTTTCTAATTATTTGTCAAATTAGGCAATAAGACAACGATGTCCCTCTCATGCAGCCTCTGATAGTAATAGTACTTAAAGAATAAGTAGAACTAGAGAAACGACGATTAAAAGTAATATAATATGGAAAAACTAGAGAGAGACTCTCCCAATTTTCAAAATTATCTTGATATGTTCTTTAATTTGAAAATTAATGTTCATGCTTAACACTTAGTAACTTTTTTTTTTTACACAATTAATAACCTTACTCACTCTGATATGAAGATACCTATCATTCTTTCGATAGCTTTGTTACAATCTTTAAAAAAAGCTTAACGTGCTTTTATATTTTTATATATATATAGTTTACATCCCATACTTAGGTTTATTTTAAAGCATAAAATTATAGTTTAAAGATCAAAAGAGAAGCTCGAATACAAACACTCACACATAATATGCATGTCCGTCTATAGATTTTCTTTCTTTCAACAAATAAACTTCATATTATTCTTTCTTATATAGTTCAATGTTTAAGTTAAAATTCTTTACCATTTGATGTTTTTATTTTGACAGTCAACCTTTTAAGGTAAAGTTCACCCTTTTATGAAATGCTTTCCGACCTTGTTTGGTGTATAAAATATAATGCGTCTAAGAACAGCTCAATTTAGTCTATTCTCGTAAATCATTTCAAAAGATAATCTGCCTATTATCACATCATACTGTTAATATATCATTGAGAATTAATTTTTAAATGCAACATAAGATAAATGTTATGAACCAAAGGAAAAGTTTACATAAAACTTGAAAGAGTTGATAGTATAATAGCATCTTATTTTGATCCTGATTTAAGATTTGATTCCTTAAAGTTTTTCTTTTAACAAATTTAAAACTACATAAAACTTATACCATAAATCAGTTTTTTAAAGACTACAGACAACTAAAAGAACTGTTAGAAAAACCATTAACGAAAAAAAAAATTGTTACTCCTCAAATGATAATTATGTCACAATAAAAAGGATACATAAGACTTCCGCACAGGCTTTCCAAAAGCCAAAAGAAAAAAGCAGGTAAGGAGTAAATGCATTATTGGAAAACTATTAAGTTCTGACACTGCGAAATTTTACAATATACTCATGAAAAATATCCAACTCAAATTGGCAAGTAAATGAGTCTGCAGATAATTAAAATTAAGATCTGTAAGGTCAGCTAAGTGGCTTTATAACACCAAAAGAAAGAGGCCTTAGGACAACTAAATATGACACACACTTAGACAACATGAATTTGCCAATTTATCTGTTACTATTTCCATTGACCTCTAAACTCACCTCCATACATTAATCACCTCCTTGATAGTAACTCAACAATGAAAAGGGTGGAAAGCTCGCGTGAAAATGATCCCCTATATGCACATTGGATTGATAAAAACTACCAATAAGTTACCATACTAAGGTCCTACAGGAGCAATGCCTTTGGTTTTGGCTGCGGCAGTGGCCGCAGCTGCAGCACCAGCAGCGGCAGCAGCAGCGGCTGCTGCTGCGGCTGCGGCTGTTGGACTTGACGGAGGAGCTGGATTGGATGGTGATGTGCTCTCCTCAGTAACTAATTGAGGTTGCTGCTGCTGTATTTGTTGAGAATTGACCTGTGTAAGCAGGGCCTTTATCTGGTTTCCGGTCAGCGTTTCCTGCTCAAGTAATGCATTGGCAAGAGCATGAAGCTCTTTGTTGTGGGTGGTCAAAATCGTTTTCGCATTGTTGTAAGCCTTTTCAAGCAGTTCTCTTACTTCCTTCTCAATGAGAAGCCTCGTTTCAGTGCTCATACTCTTCCCATTATCATCATAGTTGTGGGTGACGAGCCCAACTTCTTTGCTCATACCCCACTTAGTAACCATGGCCCTGGCGAGATTGGTTGCTTGCTGGAGATCGCTAGATGGACCAGAAGTTACTTCACCTTCTCCAAAAATGAGCTCTTCAGCGACAGCCCACCCATAGCAACATCAAGCCGAGCTAGCATCTGCTTACGGGACATACTAGTCTCATCCTTCTCAGGCAATTGAGCAACCATACCGAGAGCCATTCCACGTGGAACAATGGTTGCCTTGTGAACTGGAAGCGCCCCATCAGTATGAATAGCAACAAGAGCATGGCCGCCTTCATGGTAGGCTGTAAGCTTTTTCGTCTCTTTGGATATGAAAGCTGATTTGCGCTCACTTCCCATCATGATCTTGTCCTTAGCATACTCTAGATCAGCCAAGCTTACAGCTTTGACACCATCCATCGCGGCCTTCACAGCAGCAATATTAACCAAATTGGCAAGGTCAGCACCAGAAAATCCAGGAGTCCCTCTAGCAATGATCATAAGGTCGGCTAAACAGTCATGTGACGAAGATGTTCCAGATCTAGAGGTTTATAAAAAATCATCAACCGAGCTGATTCCAGATTATAAGGTTGAGATGACTGACTCTCAGATTGAGTGTCAGATTGATAATTCAACTTTAGAGGTTGTTAATCAATACATAGGTGTTGCTCCTGTAATGTCAGATATTCCAAAATGCTCTACACCTGAAGATGCTACAACTTCTTCCTTGCCTATTCAGTCAAGTTGTGAAGGTGTCCAAGCTTATGAGGTTTTCGACGTCTCTAGTCGGGAAGATGCAACAAGAATAAGAAAACCTGTTGTACCTCGTGTTATTGTAAAAGGGGATCATC